TGTGTTTTGTTCCTAGTGTTTACATGAAGCTGTGAAACAGCCTTGTATACATCAGAGTAAAAGTTGTAATTCCTAGATGGTTTTAATCTTGGGATACAGTACAGTGTTTGTTGTCCTTGTGCAAAAAAATAAGATTATTTTAGCAATACTTGTTCCAGCTAGAGTTATGGATCCTATTTTTTTTTTAATTTATTTTCCCAAATTTAACTGAATTTAACTCATCTCTGCTACTTTCAAGGTTAAATTAAGTAAAGAAATGTTACATTCCTTTCATTAAAAGATAATGAAATAAATCCCCAAGGAAGGTAGAGCTAGATTCGGCAAGAAGCATGATGGGCAGGTACTCTTTCCTTTGATGTGTCATCCTTTGAGAGATTTTCCAGAGGAATGGTGAAGACTTACCAGTAGAACATGGAACGCTTTTGGTTGGGTCTTTCATTTTTTTTTGTTTGTTTCTATGTTTATTGTGTTTGGGTTTTTTGTACATAGTAGTGGTAAAGTTTTTTAAATTCTTTTGGTTAAAGTATGGTTAAAAAATTCAGCTGCATTGTTCTTGCAATTTTGCCTGTGGGTTAATTCCACTGCATTTCTTCCACTGCTGTACAGACAGACCTTAGTTTCTGTACTTCAGCAATGCGCCAAAAAAAAAGCAATTAAAATAACCAACAGCAGTGATTTCCAAAATACCTACATGCAGACAGCTTCCCACTTTAAATGCAGTGCTAATGTTTCTTTGGAATAACTTGATGTTCACAGAGGATCTGATGTGCTCCTTGGATTTTACCCGAGGAGGATAAAAGGCAGTTTTTGCTCTCTTGTAACTTGTGTTTTAATATCCTTTATTAAACTATGAACTATGAAATTGACTGGTAAAAGATGAATTCTTTCACTGACATCACTAAGCTTTGAATCATATTAAAAAATTATTTGGGTTGTGGGTTCAGATTATCAACATGCACTGTATCCAACAAAAAAAAAAAGGGAAAAAAGAAAAAAAGGGGTTGGGGGTTGAGTTAGATATTTATTTGCAATTAAGGATAAGTTACTTCTGCATATATACACATATTCACTGTGCATTCACCTGCATTTTCAATTACAGCTGAAGACTCGGTCCAGTACCTTTAGATTCTGTAGTGGTTCTTTTCTATCTAATCTATCAGGTGTATTTCTGCTACAAAACTGACCATTATTTCTTTAACATACCTTCTATGTTAGGCAGCTTGTTGTTGAGGAATACAGACATACTGTCAAATACTACTCCTAAGAAAGTTTGCCCATGTGCACATACATGGATCTTCGAGTGTTCACTGGTTCACAGTGTAAGCCTTATCCCTGTTATTAATCATTTGTATTACACCATGAATTCACAAAGTTCAATCTCTGTGCTATATAGTCCTTGTACTTCTTGGTATTTCTGAAATCATTCATGGTATGTTTCCATTTCATTCAAGTACTTGATTTTAATTTTTTTGTTGTTGTTGATACAAGCTTTATATGCATCAATAACAGTGAGTTGGGATTTAAACACTACTGTGGTCAGACCTTGAATGAACAATCAGAACTGTTTTTCTGTCTCACAAAATGCTGTTGATTGTGGGAGGTTATAATAGGCAATTTATTGTGTTTTTTTAATTATCAGTCACTGCTTATGAATAAAAGAGAAGAATGATGTGTGCTGAGGGTGTAAGCCTTCAAAGCTGAACTACTGAAGGGTAAGAGAAAGAGAGTGATAAAACAGTGAAGGGTACCACAAAAGCAAGGATGTATTTTGACCTTGTATATGTCCATAATGGCAGTAAATACAAAATAATTCCTTTGGACCTTGCTTTATTTTCTTAAAACCAGCTTATGGAAAAGCTTGAAAGTTAAGGAGGGCTCATGTTGCCTTCAAATAGTTACTCTTGAAGTATTTTTAGTAGCCTGTAAAGAAAAGCAGTGACAACTCCTTTACATGTTTCTTAACTAGTTATGTAGTCATTAGAATTCCAGGGACCTGAATGCTGCTGGGGTACACACAGCATGATGCACTGCCTATCCATTTGGTTTGGAAAAAAAATACAGCAAAAGCTAGATCTTCCACTTGCTGGCATTGAAGGCAGTGGAGCAGCCAGTTGGAAAAGACTTGAGTGCTAACTTTGCTTACACTAAAGTTAGGACGACCAGTTATTCCAGGATGACCACTCCTATTTTAAATATAGAAAACATGCTTTTCAAATTGTTTCATGGCTCATAAAGGTTCCAGGATTTTCCTTCTTGAAAATCTGATCAGAAAGTTACATTGGAGAGCACTCCTGCAGCAAGGTTCATAAATAATAAATATTATCTCGTATTAATCCATATTTTAGTTAAACTCTGGCTCATGGCAAGTTGCTTCCTTGGGGAATGCAGAATTCTTTACAAGAGAAGGTGATGAGCCCCAGTCCCTGAGGAATTAAATTGTGAAAACAATCTCTGTTTTGTACATGCTAATACAGATCTGTTATTCCCTTTCCACATCTATCACAACACATTCTAAATTGTGGCTGATCTTTTATGCAGATAGCTGCCTTATTAGACATTGCGGCTATATTTGCTAATGTCTCCATGGGTTTCTTGGGCCTTTGCTATCTAACCATCAAAGTGGTGGACATGAATGATGATTACTGCATCCCTTTGAAGAACAAAGAGGAGTCTGGGTTCTAGATGCGGCAGTTGGTGACACTGAGCCACACGAGCAAAAATGAACATTTCAGTGGCTACTATTAAGTCAGGAAATAATTTTTTGTCTGTGTTTCCTTCTTGAGTCTTATTGGCACTGTTAAAACTGCAGACATCTTTCACTGCTTATGTTTTGTTACAAAACATTAGGTTATTGAAATTGCAAAAGGCAAGTCAAAACAGTCTCTAAAAGTGGCATAAAAAAGCCAAAAACTAGTTTTGCAGTGTAAAAATATACGTTATCTCCAACTAGCCAGAAGTTCAAATGGTACTTTTATTTTCCACTCTTGCTATTACGATGTGAATGTTATGTGAGAAATAAAAGTCAAGAGAATAGCTGGGAAGCATATTAGAGGGGCAAAACCACTAGTGGATTACAGTTCACTGTTCACAGTTCACTGTTACGTGTTTTACATAAGATAGGGGTATGCTCTGTGTTAAACAAAAGTAGTGTATGGAAACATTAGAACACTATGATTGAGGTTTCAGTTTGGATTAAGAAATAATGGCAATCTTTTATACCTTGTTATTATTTCTGAATACCTTTTAAAAAAAGGTGTTGACTTCTGAGCACCTAAGTTCCTTTTAAGCTGTGTCCCACACTTTAAATTAAGGAGCGTGGATTTGTCACTTGGCATTAAATGCCTATAATTCTTACAGAAGAGATAAATGCAAAAGATGAAACTTTGTGGATTGAAAACACATAAATAACTGATGGGATCATTCCTGCAGCTGTACGTTAAACCTTGTTTGAAACTATGAAGGAGATAATGGTACATGTTTAAGGCTGAGATGCTGATGGTAGTGCATTTAGCAGTGTCTTGGCATGCTTTTTGGCCCATGATTTGGCATCACAGTGCCTTTAAGGGCTGCGCTTCCCAGACAGTGCGCCTTGGCAGAGCCTGGGGAAGCTCGTCTTGCTGTAATGCATCTGGTAATGCCTAACAGAGAAGTATAACTCGCAGATACTTCAGAGCCATATGTGCACAATCTGTAGACAGTCTGTGGTTGCTGAAGTTCAGCTGAAGTTTGCCCTTGGCACAACTTGCCAAGGCTGGTTGGGAAAAGGCAAGTGTTGGCTGTTGTGCATCTTCTGCGCTCGAACAGTAAATCTGACACTGGAAAATGTCAGCCCTCCTGTGAGTGCAGAGGTTGGTGTTTGGAGGCTTGTGTCATAAAGGTGGTCAAATGGTGGGGCTTACCACCATTGTGATGAGTGATATATTCAGCCCATCCAAAATGGTTGAAAAATAGTGTTTTGAGGAACAACTGTGACTGTAAAAGGCAGATATTTTTTGACTGTGGAAAAAGAGGTGAAATGAGTATATTTGTAGAATCTTTCTGTACCATTTGAGTGGCAGCCCTGTGAAGAGATGAATAAGAGACCATAAGGTTTTCCAGATTAACTGGACATATTTGGAATTTGCTGGAACACAAGTCAGATGACACTTGTTCAGTTACACTGATGGTGTGACAGTAACAAAGTACCAAAAGAGCATCTTTAGATGAATGATGATGCAGTTTCCTGTGCAATCCTTGTGTCACCTGTTTGTGCTGTGTAATGTGAGAAGCCCATTCGAGAGTCAGGATGGTTGTTACTTAAATGCATTGAAGGTGATCTAAATTCTCAATACCTCTGCTGAGAGGTGTAAAAAGGGCACAGCTCCAGCTCTCACCTTTTATTCTCCACTTTCTTTTCATTCACAGATCTGTAGAGCTAGTGGCAGGAAGGTAGAGTGTGGGGTTGTTGTGTTTTAGGTATCTGTTCCTCTGTTTAGCTCAAGGTGGTTGAAGGGCTGTGGCTGCAGCAATTACACTAGTGCATGCACACATGCCTAGTCCTGTGTCAGACATATTGTAAATGTGTTTGCCAACAACGGAAGCAGCTCAAAATACAACATTCACTCCCTGGTTTACGAAAAAAACAAAAAAAAAACAAGAAAAAACAAAACCAACCATACAAAAGAATGAAATTCAGTGGTACCAGATGCTGAGTTACTGCGCAATCAGTTTAAATCTTTTCCTCTTTTTTATTCAAACTAACAGGTATTTGGTAATGTTAATAACCCATGCAATGGGGAAAAAGGTATGTTAGAATTTATTAAGAGTCGTCAGAATAGTGATGATTTAACTCTGGTGTCTTGTACTCTGGGAAGGCTTATGACTGTGTATAATCATAGCATAACATGAATGTCACATGTTAGTTTTTTCCAATGTTGTATGTCATTGATTTCCTTAGTAAGTTATTTAGGAATAATGTTTACTTTTTTTTCTTTCTTTTTTTTTTCCCCTGCTGTTGACAGTAATTTTTGGATTGAAAACCATGGGTAGAAAAGATGCTTCTACAGCAAGAACTCCTGTTGACCAGTACAGGAAACAAATAGGTAAGAAAAACTTGTGTGCTTAAAAAAAAAAATACTGTTTTTGTTTGTTTGTTTGTTTTTTGTTTTGTTTTTGATATTTTTGTTTGGTTTGGTTTTGTGTGTTTTTTTTTTTTTAATTTGGTTTTGGTTTTTTCAGCCAGACCTGTCAGTGTAACAAAATGTATTATTCCTCTTCAAAACCTTTGTTTTGCTTGTGAGTGGTACAAAATAAGGCACACTCCAGGGAAACATTTGTTATATGTTGTTGACTAATTCATTTGGCAAAACCTTTTATGAAGACAGTGTTTCAGGAAGCTTGATAACATCCATGTTCTGTGTTTAGAAATAGTAGTGAAATACTGCAGTGCAATGGCTCCATGATATTTTTTGAACTGTTGGAACATTCCTGATTCTTCCGTTTGTCTCCAGTCAGATATGGGCATTTCTAACAAAACAGTGTTCCTGCTTCATAGCAGTTTTTGATATGCTGAATGATACAAACCTTTACGTTCTATAACTGCATTTATTCTCACACTAATGAAATACTTTTAACATGTTAATTGTTTATTTTCCTAGGTCTCTTTCTGTTCTCACCTGTTGTATGCATAGGTAACTTGTATACAAAGTATGCACATGCACACACATGAATGCACTCCTGTACTCATACACGTACCTTCATAGCAGACTCAAATCTCTGTTTCTTTTTTAAATGCAAAGGCAGGTGACTTATTGTTGGAATCCATATGTAAGGATTCTGTCTCTAGGTGTTAAATAATATTATAAACAAACACAATATTTTAAAAGAACGTATATAAAATGAAGTACCTTAATCTATACTTAGTTATCTAAGTAAATGACTTTTTTTTAAAATTGCTAAGCATCCACATCTGTGTTTAAATACACAGAAAAATACCAAGTGTCTCTGAAAAACAGGCTGTTTATAGTGTATATTCTTATGGTGAAAGAGCTACTGGTATGTAAAGAGTCTTATTTTTGTCATGTCATACTTTTTTTAGTGCTGCCTTATTTTAATATAACTTAATGGTCTTTTCTGCATCTAAAGTTGAGAGTAAGGGAGTATTGTGTATTTTATTTATTATAGATTGCTCCATATTTTCTAATCTTGGGCAGTTTATGTCTGGCTTTCTCGGTTCATGCTCTGAGATAGTTAGAAATGTGGCTGAAAATTTCTGATTACCTTTGCAGATGGGAAGCAGATATACTGGAAAAAATGTTTAAATAAATGGGCACTCTGCTTTTGTGTGATTTAGGTTTCATGTAAAAAACCTTGCAAGGAAACTATTACCTAGCAAAAGATGACACCAAAAATATTTCACCCCAATGGGTTGGGTGAAAAGTTGGAGCCCTGCAGCCAATAGTCACGTGTAACGGGTGTTTGAATAGAGGATGATTGCATTAGCCTTCTGGCATTTTCTCTACATATTTTCATGGTGGTCACTTCTTTTTCAGCCACCTCCTTTAGGGTTGCTTTTCTTCCTCTTGTGCATGACTTCAGGTGACCATGGTTGAAATTGTTTTTCATAGTTGTCCGCAGGGTGAGAGAGACTGGTGATTTCCAGCGGGATCCCTGGAAGGCAGTATGGCCTGCTGGAAGACCAGGGGGATGTAAAGCTTCATCTAAGTATGAGACTTACAAGATTTCCTCTCACTGTTTCACAGCTTGGGCTCCTTCTTGCATGTCACTACTGCATGGCACTGTGGTTGCACATTTCAGTTGTGAGATGCTAGGACTGATCATCTGTGCCTTGGTCAGGGGAGGGGACACTGTGCTGTGTAGCAAGGGGGCGAGAGTATTTGTATAGGGGCCCAGTACTCAGAGGAGTCCTGTTATATTGCTGACTTTCCGGTTTCGAGCTAGCATGTTGTCTGAACAATTTGGCACCTTCCCTGTTATACGATGCAGCACCGTGATCCGTTGGGTACTGCAAAATACAGTGTCTGAGGGGGCTTATAATAAGCTCATTTTCCTCAGATGTGACACATTGCTCTTAACTTGGCAAAAGCAGGTGTTAAAAATTGTCGTAGGGAAGAGTCTCACACCGGCAGGCAAATAAACTACATAACCTAGGAGGTGTTTCTATGATTGTACTATTCCTTAGAGGACAGAGAGCAAGAATGAAAATAGACCATTCACTGCCTTTTGCGCTGGTGATGGTTATTTCAACTCCCATTCTGGTCATTCACTATAGCCGTAGAGTTTGTCAATGGAAATTATTTTTCTGAACTTAGTGAATTAGAGGGGGTTGAAAATTCATGGATACAGTTTTATACTTTAATGTAGGTGTGTTTGAGTTTTCTGTACAAGCATTTTGTGTTAGCTTTAGGCCTGGTAGCTGAGCTTAGTGGAGCCATCTCTCTAGTGTCATTATGCCTTCAGGTGTATTATAGGACAGTAGGTGTATTACTGACAATTGTCTGATAAAGAGCTTTTCTTGCCATAATGAACATGGAATCTTTTCTTTTTTTTTTTCCCTGTTACTTTTTGATTTATTTCTTCTTACATGGTGTTGCATAAGTGATGATAATTCATCTGTTTATCACAGAGTCATGGTTGAAGTTGGCAGGGACTTCTGGAGGTCATCTGGTCCAACCCCCCAGCTCAAGCAGGGTCACCTAGAGGCAGTTACTCAAAAGAGTGTCCAGATGGCTTTTGAGTATCTCCAACGAGGGGAACTCCACAATGTCTCTGGACAGCCTTGTTCCTGTGTTTGCTCACCCTCAGAGTGAAAGGGCTTTTTCTTACATGTTTCAGTGCGTGCCTGTTGCCTCTGGTCCTGTCACTGGGCACCACTGGGAAGAGCCTGTCTCCATCCTCTTTGCACCCTCCCTTCAGGGATTGGTTGAGTTCCCCTCATTGATGAGGTCCCCCCACACTGATGAGGTAGGTCCCCCTTGAGCCTGATCTTCTGTTGGGTAAACAGTCCCAGGTCTCCTCCCAGCCTTTCCTCATAGGAGAGATGCTCCAGATCCTTAATTTTAACTCCTCTTGATCCGATTTCAGAGTCTTGATCTGATTTCATTTACATACTTACTAGAAATTACACAGAAAGAATTTAAATGTTTTCCTAAATTCCATTCATCAAATAAACCCTAGATTGGGCAGCTTAAGTACTCTTTCAGGGATGCTTTAGTGTGAGTCTGTCCAGTAGAAGACTGCTCCAAACACAGAACGCCATCATGCTCCAGGCTTATCTATTTTGGAAGTGGTTGTTTGATCACCCTTCCTCAGATAGGTTATATCTAGAAACAGTAAGCAAAGGGAGGTTGAATGGGACTTGTCTTTAAAAGAATTAATTTATCACATGCATTAAAAGTTCTATATACATGTGTGGAGTGATTGCCACCCTTCCTTTCCAGGCATTTGGTATGTATGGATTCTTGAAAATACGACAGATGCTGGCTGAACAGCTGTCTCTTGTTGACTAATGGTATGGTGTTATTTCTTAGCTCATGATTTAATGTTTTCTAGCCTGCTGGATAGAAGGTAACCAGATTGAAACGTTTTTAATACCTTTTTTGTTTGATGGGAAATGGCAGTTTTCAAGGAGCAACATGTCACAAAGTCACGTCAACTTCAACACAATTTTCAGTTACATGTTTAGCAGAGTAATTTAAAATAAAAGCAGATTTTTAATTTCAATTTGTTCCAAGCTTTCTGTTTTGTTCTGAGTTTCCATACGGCATGCCACATGTTTGCCCTGTGCCATGGTTCAAGCTCATGTTGATCACTTCAGTTCAGCCGTTTGCCTTTTTCTCTCCTTTATTGAGTGCAGAATCGCTCATGTCTTGTTTGCCAGTGTGCCATTAGCAGTTGCTGTTTGCTTCAGTAGTATTTTCAGAGGATTCCCCTGGTATAGAGTTGATATTGCTCTTCTCTGTCAGCTGGCTTTCAGCCATCTCTCCTGCCACCAGCCAAAATTTGTCTGTAGTGCCTCTTGTTCAGCAAGTGCTCCGGTATCCAACAGAGCACTGCCTTTTCCTCTGGGAGCAGAGGCAGCCTTTTTGTTACCAGACCAAACTGGCACTAGCTTTGTGAAGGCTGTCCCCAAATGGGACAGGGAACAGCAGCAGCAACCTTCTCAAGCTGGCTTAGACTGTGCCTGGAGGAGGGAGGATGGTGCTGAGGGAATCTTTCCCCATTCAGTTCCCCATGAGCAGCTGAGGTTTTGGAGGAGGAATGAGGAAAAGCAATTTTAACACTCATTATTCAGCTCTCTCTCACATATCCAAACATATACCTGTAGTGCAGCAACAAACGGGGCAGCTCTTCTACATAGTGTTTCCTTCTCACTGCTGCTGTTTGTGCTGCTGTTTCTAATTTGCTGGGATTGGAGGAAAGGTGTGAGGCAGTATGCATCTTTCTGCATTCATGCAGCTTTGCTCCACAAATGCTGTGAAAATAGCAACAGGTTTTACACCATATTTGCTTTGTTTACTGTTATGTGTGCTTTAAGTTCCCAGAACAATTCCACATGTATATTTTCCATCCTTCATCTGGTGTGTCGGTTGCTCGGCATGGAAGCTGCAGGATTTGTGGGTAGTGTTCATGACTCGTGCGATTGTGGGATCCTAAGCAGGCATACTGAGAGGATTATAGCATAACTAAAACCTGGTCTACAAATCAGGAATAGACATACTTTTGGCTCCTATTACTATTGTGTTGCTGTAGCATAATTTTTCATGAGGAGAGGTTGTTTGCCAATCATTCATCCTCCAATTTGTAGACTCAAGGTCTGCTTATTGTCTCCTATGTATCTTCTGACTTGCTGGCTGGATGCTTTAGGGGCCGGAGCTTATATAGGCACAGCCCAGGGGGTCTCTAGCTCCTCACATCCACTGGGAAGGAATAAAAGTTATGAATGAAAACAAATTCTTTTGTTTTGGAAAGCACAAGGTGCTAGGCTGGGCACAATCGTGAGGTGGTGGAGGTGGTGTTCATTGGCACAGCACGTGCAGAGTGATGGGGTGGTGAAGGGGACTGAGTGGGCGTCCTGAGACCC